TTTGTTGTTGATGGTGGCGGGATCATTGTGAAGGGAAATACGCTGAGTACGATAGAGAATAACGGCGTAGAATCATCTGTCTATGTTTACGCTGTTGACGTGAACAATGGCGGCTACTTTGATTTGGAGAACAACACGATGAGGGCCGTTAATGGCGTTTATGTTTTTGGGGAAACCACCGTGAGCTCTGCGGGGCTGCTGAGAGTGGCGGACAGCACCTTTGTTGACATCGCACTGATTTTTGAATCTGCGCTGGTGCATTTTGACGGCTCGGTGACACTCGAGGGTGGTGCGCAGTGGCGTGTGGAGGGCAACGACGTGAGGGCAGCCTCAGTAATAGGCGTGCCAAAATCCTTGCACAAAATCAGGCTGTCGGACAGCGGCACTACCGTGGCGGTCACACACAACCGTCAGGTGGACTCCAGATTGCCCTTTTTTAATTTTTTTCCATCGATCATTTTTGTAACGTCACCCGCGCGGTTTGTGGTTTGGTGCAACCTGCAGGGCGATGAGGAGGTGTTGTATGACGGTGTGTTTCCGGAGGACGTGGTGGTGTTCAGGTGCGGCGCATGCAACGATGACGCGGCGTGCTACATGCCCGGGACGGAGTCGGTGGACCGCAGCTTGTGCTCGTGCAGCTGCAAGGGCGGATGGCATGGCGCGTCGTGTCTTCCCTTCGAGGTGCCCGACACGTTTGTGCCGCCCTTGCCGGAGAGAGCCGTCGACGGCGACACGAGCTGCGTGGTGAACCAGACGCTGACGAACCTCACGCTGAACATGTGGAAGACGCACCACTGCTACGTGGGTGTGACATTCAGCGGCGTGGGTGCTGCGCTGACGTTCTTCCTTAAAAGTATGCCGCTGCATCTCCCCATCAACATCACGCTCACCGGGTGCACATTCCACGAGGGTGCCGCGCTGGAGTTTTTTGGGGGTGCTGAGGCGGCCGAGTCAGCCGGCGTCCTGATCCGCGTGAGCCAGACGGTGATGCGGTCCTCTGTAGTTGTGTTTGCATTCGCCCTCCCGCAGCGCTGCGACATCGCCATCACGGAGGTTGACGCAGTGCAGTCTTCCGCAGTCCAGCTGCTTGACACTGTGAACAAAAGGTTGAGCGTAGTGACGCTGGACAACGTCGAGTTGACTGCGTCCTCGCTGTTGGTCGGCAACGTCAATGCGCATGCATCGAAGTATGGTGGGTTCGGTTT